TGTGCAGACGTGCTGAGGGTGCCCTTGCTGAGGCTATGACACGCTGCAGAGCAGTTCCCACATTTCCCGGCAGGGGGTGGTGGTGCGCCGATGCTGCCCGGCTTCTTGCAAGGTCTCCAAGGCACAACCTGGAGCAGGGATGCCGGTGTACCACTGCGAACAGCCCCGGGTGCATGGGGTCCACAGGGCTATGCAAAGCCAGTCTAGAGCAGAGGAGATACACAGGGAAGCAGAAGGGTCTGCACAAGGAAGAGCAAAGGCCAGTGACAGGAACCAGGGCACCGGCAAAGAGTAAGCCCATAACCAGGAGGTAGGTGAGACAGGGCTGCTCATAGCCCCCTGCTAGCTCAGAGCCAAAGGCACGGATTTGACCTGATAAGGGTGTCAGGGGCCATGGCAGGTCAGGCCAGCAGGCAAGAGGGCAAGGATGGCTGCAAAGGAAAGCAGCCCTGATTGCCCCAACCCCAAGGCAACAGGATGCTGCAAGCCAGAGATGCCGGGGCAGGGGCAGCCTTGCTATTCAGCGACCAGAGAGGCAAAAGGGGTCCTTCGACAGAGCCACGTGTTCAGCCGCTGCCCCCGGCTCCTCCCGGGAGCCCTTGGCTGGCTCCCTCTGCCCCAGTCCCAGGGGCGTGGATGGTGTCAGCAGCCTGTGCGGCAGGGAGCTGGGCTGGCCCCTTTGAAGCTGGCAGGGACAGCCGGGATGCCAAGGACGGCGTTCTGCTGGCCTGAATCCACTGCCACCATTTTTCATCCCGCTCTTTGATCTCAGCCAGGGAAGACAGGCTTTGATCTCCGGCTGGCGCTACCCACCCCCAACACAGCACGGGCAGTGCGCTTCCCACCAACACGACTCCGACCTGGCTGGCCGAGAGCTGCCAGGGACAAGCTCCACATTTCCTACCATGCAGGTGTTAGCCCCAGCAGCTCGGAGCAACTACACCCGCTGCCTCCATGCACCCGTCTCTGCAATCAGACGCAGGCCAATGCCAACTCCTCGAGGCGCCAGCTCTGTCTTTCGAGGGATTTGCAGGCACGCTGCGTAGTGCTTGCACGCCCCGGAGGGACGTGCTGCACCGCGTCAGGACCACATTTTGGGAGCAGCGGCTGCATCCTACCCCAGGCGAAGGGCTCCTTGCGGCATGCAAGGGGGTTTGGGAGCTGCCCGCATGTCGGCCTGCATCGCTGTCACTCCACGAGCTATATTGTCCACCATGCTTGCTCCCATTGCCCACAGCTGGCAACTAAGGCCAGAGCCAGCACTGCTAAGGGCGGTAATGCAGGGAAACCTGCAGAGACCACAGCCCAGTGCAATTGCTTGACCCATCGCTCTGCTCAGCACAGCACCTCTAGGGACCCCTCTGCTAGGAAGGGGCCTGCAGTTTGGTAATGAAGCCCCTCGTGGAGCTGAGAATGGGGTGAGACCCCACCAGCTCATGTCATGGCCATTAGGGGACGGCAGCATTCAGCTCCTCCCAACCCATGCCGGGTCGCAGCCAGCCGGCGAGAAGACCAGGCCGGGTGTCCCGTTACCAGCTGGAGCTCCAGGTCTCAGGTTCCTTTCCTGGCTGGGTTTTGAGCCAAGCCTGTTGTTTCCAGGGGAACTGGGCTCCGTGCGGGACCGGGCTTTGTTCCCGCAGAGCTGTGCAAATGGCCTAGTGAACCCTAAGGCTGGCAGGGACCCCAGGGTCGCCCAGTCCAGCCCCCTGCCCAGGCTCAGCTGCATGGCCCAGCCTCTGCCTGGAGCCCCGGAGGAGGGGATGCCACCATCCCCGTTCTTAAATCCCCGAGATGGGCTGTGACTCCATCCCTGGAGAGCAGTTTTCCTTCCTCTCCTCTGCATCAGCTTGTCAAGCATTTGGAGACTCCCCTCTTAAGGTCCTCTCCTTCGAGCCCAGTTCCTCCCCGCTTCTCTCTAGGCCTGGCTTTCAGCATCCTCACAGCCTGCTGGACCCCTCCAAACCCTCTCTGCTTCACCTGCCCCCAGGATGCAGCCAGCTCTGGGGCTGAACCCAGCAGCCATGCGTAGCAGGGACTTGACCCCATGAGCAACGTAACTGCGGCATCGATGTCTGACGACACCCAGAGCTGCCACGAAGTCCCCGTGACGTCCGCAGGCTCCCGGGAGGGGACGGGTGTAGGAAAACCATTGCAACCTGAGCCCTGTTTCATTCAGGCCTCACGTTACAGTGATTCGGCACACGTGTCCAGGTCTGGCCCAACCTCGGGCAGAGGAGGTGGCCGTGGGCTCAGCTGCTGGCAAGACCCTGAGGGCAGGTCTCCATGGGACCAGTATGGACAGCTGAGCCATGGGCCCTTCAGGGAGCTGCCTTGGAGGGCAGAGGTTTGCAGGCTGGACCCCAGGCCACTCTGGACTGGGAGGTGTTTGA